TAACATACCTCTAGATACAAATCTACGGAATGGTAGATTCCATCAAAAGAGTCTCTAGCAGAGTCCGGCAGGGCCCTAATTAGAGCCAAGAACTTCGATGGTTTCAGGTGAGGATCGGGAGCTACTTCAGCTATATATAAATCTACTAAGCTAGCCACTTTCTTCAGTCGACTCAATGGCAAACACCATACTCCTTTGGCAAGAAATGATTTCACGAGCCTAATAACAAGATTTACATCGTACAGGTAATGTGCCCGGACTGGAGATGGAACAAGGAAATCGTCTAGTGTTGCTTGATCTAATTGCAAACCAATCATACTCTCCAACTTGCACCTGCAGCATTTGCTTATGTTTACATGTGAAGAAACTCTAAGCATCCCAAACAATCTCTTGTAAGACACAGTGCTTAAATCTAAAGAATAAAGCATCTCAACAACTGATTCAACCATCCTAATTTTCTCGTCTGAAGAGGTGGAAGCCAATCTTGTTTTTTGGTAATGAAAGAGAAACTTACTGATTATACTATGGTTTAAGTTTCTAGATACCATTGACTTCACCAGCATTTCAATCACATGAATATCCAACTGTACAAGATCTTTAAACCACCATGTAACTCGAAGGAAGCTGCTTTTCAAGCTCTCGCTACTTCTTGTGTCACATGATGCCCGTAATTTAGAACTATCAGGCGAAGAGACGGATGGACACGGACTTGTTTCACAGGATGATGCAATCCTTCCAAGAAGAGAATCCAAGCATTTTTCAATCATGCCCGAAGAGCTTGCAACTGGGAAGAAATCTTGGCACCGCTTCAAAGCCGCCATAAGTTCGGACCATGTCCAATACTTGATATCTTCAAGTGATTTTTCAGTTTGATCAATTAAATTTTTGCTTCCAGTGACACCTTTGTCCATTTCCATCAAATATGCAGCACAATTTAGGTCAGTGATATTAAAGGGATTTATGTTAATTTTGCCGTTGTTGTAGCAGAACCTCGTGATGAGCTCAAAATTTTCAGCTCCTCCGGGAAAGTCATGGTATATCACCTTCAGATTTCGTTTTCCACCTTTTGATTTGCTAAACATCTTTTTTATACTACCCGAATAAGATGATAGAACTTTCTGCAAGATTTATAGAAAAAACAGAGCCAGATAAGAAAATAAGTTGACAGTGCAACAGAAAAAAGAAACTTAAAAAAGAAAAAAATAAAGTACTTGGAAACTTCAAAGAAATTATATCCATACCTACTGCAATAATAAGATTAAATAACCTTGCAATCTATGGATACAAAACAGAAAGTAATGGAAAACCAAGTAACACAGATTGATATTGATGAAATAACAAGAAAGGAAATTATGTTATGTTACAAATACAAAAAGGCCCACACAGTATTTACGGTGGTGCACGTCCGCGTCCTTCGACTAACATAATCGATATTAGGAAAACTTAAAATGAAACTGAAACAAATTGTGGACTCAATTTCCTGAAAAAAAAAATGAAATATGAGAATACTTAACACCATCAATGCAGTAGAGGGTATCAAGAAAGAAGCATGCCAACAACAGTCCCAACAAGATTCTTTTATTGGTCACTTTCGAAATAAGTGTAAAAGGCACAAAAAAGTTTGAACATTAAATCTCCATAACAACAACAATAAATGCGAGCAAGAACTCTAATAAAATAACAGGAGAATGCTTTATCTGAATGGTGAAAATAAGTGGATTGACAGAGAATAATCACCAGAAATCAAGCCCCACATAATAACAGGAAAATTATGCAAAATTACGTTGCAAACAAATATGCCAAAGAATCAAATTTTCAGATAACCCATCTTACAATTCAAGTAAATTCAATCAAAATCTTAAATTTCTGCAATTTTATTAATAGTAAAATCTATTTATAATGTATAATTCATTGATGAAAAGGAGTAAAATTTTAATTGAAACTGAAAAAAGACTCTTTACCATGTCCACCATGAAAACCTCTTCTCCATTGACATCAACTTCAAGATCACAATAGGCCTCCATTCCAAGATAAACAAGGAGAAAAAACAAAGCCCACCTCAAATTAAGAAGCAAAATGGGATCATATTCTGGGATTTGAAAGAGGACAAACAGAAAAGAGTCAGTTTCTTGGCATTGCAAAATGCTTAATGAATTGGTACAGAAGCTATGTGGCTCTCAACTGAGGTGTGTATGTATATTGTATAGAGAGACGAGTATATGTGAAGCAACAATTTGCACACGGACAAAGAATACACACTTACATATGCATATTATATGAGGATAAAACAAAGGGAAATCACTATAGTTAGACTAAGAGAAACAGAGTTGTTGAGTGCCCACTAATCTTTTTCTCTGACATTCTTGGCCCAATTGTTTTGTTTTTCAACTGTAGATTTTTCAATATAAACGAAGGTTTTACGAAAGGCCCTTTGTGTGAGCTGGGATTGAAAGGCTTTTCTGTGCTGTTTTTGCTGCTTTTTCAGTTATGATTTTCTTTTATTATTCTATGTTGATGTAGCAAGGTCTCTCATTACTACCATAATTTTATGGGAAAATTGCATCCGAGGTACCAAACCTTTCGTTTATTAGCAGACTTTGCACAAACCTTTAGTTTGTGCCAACCTCGACACTAAACCTCTAAAAAATACTCACTTGAAGTCCAACTTAACGGAAACTGTTAGTTCATCATTAGTTGACCAAAAGTCAACGATTTAACCAAATTTTGACTAATTTTAAAAGGTTAAAACGGTAAATTTATATTTTCTATAATAAAACAATTAAAATACAAAATCCACTTCATCTTCTCCACTCACCCCACACCCATCCATCCCACCCAAACCTTAAAAGAAAAAAACCAGAACCCACCCTTCCCGGACATCGTTACCCACTGCACCACCACCATCCATCTGATTTTTTTTACGATCTCGCCCTCTTCTGCTGTGCCGCGCTTGCGTCCATTCGCCCTGGCGGTTTCGCCGTATCCCATCTAGGAACCACCAAGTCCAAACCCAAAATTGCCTTCTTCTTCTTCCTACTGCCACCTTTGCTGTTCCTTCGTCTCACCACTACCACCGTTGATGGTGCCACCATACTTCGACAGATTATTCCACAAAATCCAAATAATCAACAAACCCATAATTCAAATTTCACTGTTTATGCTTGGTCGACGGATTTGGGATTGAGAAGGGGGAGAGAGGGTTAAATAGCTAGGGATTTTGGTGCAAAGAGGGTAAAAAGAAAAAGTTTGCAGTGAGGTTGGCTATGGCAGAATTGTAGTGAAATGACAAGATAGAGTGTGAGTGAAAGGGCTAGTTGTAGCACTGTACAAAACTGCATAAAGATGCCAAGTTAGGGTATCAGTTTCATAATCTTCAATTTGGTTGGATTTTTCACAGTTCCTCGGTTGCCGGCTGCACCGGGGTGGTGCCGACCCCCCGCCACCGGTTGGAGGTGGTTTTGATTTTTGGGGTAAGGGGATTGGGAAGATTGAAGATGGAGATTGGTTTTTTTTTTTCTTTTTAAATAATTTTTATTTATTTTTTATATTTAAATTTAAAATTATAAAGTTACAATTTTAACCTTGCCTTATTTGGTCACAATTATTAAATTTTTAATTTTTGAGGTCAACTGACGGTTTTGACGGTCAAACAGACAGAAACCGTCAATTTGGACTTGAACTGCGTATTTTTTAAAGGTTTGGTATCTCCGGTGGCACAAACTAAAGGTTTGGGCAAAGTCTGTTAATAAACGAAAGGTTTGGTACCTCGATTGCAATTTTCCCTAATTTTATTAAGGAAAAAATCATATGTACCAAAGGCGGGTTATTGAAGCGTGTCCCCCCCCCCCTCTACAAACACGTGGTTCCCGCGTGTATTTAATTATGTCGAGTCGTGGTCCCCACCTTAATGATATGAGTGGGGTGTAAACGATTATGTAAATGATTATGTACGTGTAGCACGGTCCTTTCATTAATTTACTCCCTCTCTCTCTCTCCCTCTCCCTCTCCCTCTCCCCCTCCCCCACCCCCAGTCTCTCTCATATTTTGTTTCAAGATAAATTCCTCTAAAGTCACCAATCTTTTATGAGTGTAGTAGCTATATCCTCAATCTTTCATGAGTAGCACTCCCATCCCCAACATTTGAACTTCACGTACGGGAATCCCCCTTCTAACAGAAAATGTCTATTTAAATGTTAAATATCCAAGTGACACACGGTGATATCTAATGAAGACAATGTTGGGTTTATGACCCGAATTAGGAAAGAAAATTATTTCCTTATTTTCACGTGATTTTATTGAAAATATATTATTTCCTTATTTCACATTATTTCCATCTTTATGGTATGGTATGTATCGATAAATAGTGGCATCTTCTTTCAGTTTAGTTCAAGCCAAAATTGCTGTATTATAATTTTTCTCTCTATATCATCGTTATAATAAAATATCATTGTTTCATTTTTGTGATCTTGTTACATATTTTATATGACATCATTAATCCCAATCCTTGCGTCGCCTTTGGGATCAACAAGTGGTATTAAAGCTAGCCTGTAGATTCTTTATGATTTGATTGGAATTTTAGAGATGGCTACATTGAAATATGATATTTCGATGTTGAATCGCAATACAAGATTTTCTCTGTGGCAAAGTAAAGATGAGGATTATTTTGGTACGGTTGGATTTGGACGTTGCGTTGTTGAGTTTTGAGAAAATAGCAACTAATTGGATAATGGAGGGATTGGAAGGCTTTATCGCAACTTATCCAATAATATTCTACGGAATGTCTTGAATAAGAAAAAAATAGCTGCTTTGTGATTGAAGCTGAAGTAATTATACATGACTAAAAGTCTCACTAGCAAACTAACTCTAAAATAAAAGTTGTATTCCTATCACATGGCAAAAAGAGGGTCACTGGAAGACCACATTGCTGTGTTCAAGGAAATAGTTACAGATTTAGAGATATTGGAGGTTAAGTAGGATGAGGAGGACTTGACCTTGATCATGTTGTGTTCGTTGTCCGTCTCTTATTCGTCATTTCGGGACACTATCCTCTACAGTCATGATACTTTGACTATTGAGGATATCTACGATGCTCTATTCTCAAATGAGAAGATGAAGCATTTGGTTGGAGCTAAATTGGGGGATGAGAAAGCTCCGGTATCTCATGGTGATCGACAGAGGGGTAGATCGAGGATGAACTTCAGCAATTTGTACTACTTCTACTGCAGGAAGAAATGACATGTTAAGAAAGATTGCGATAAGTTACAGGCTAAAAGTAATTTAGCTGCAAATCATAGGGAGTCTCATCTCCATGAGTACCGTGGATGTAAAAGAGTATAATTTCTCTAGTGGAGGTGGAGTCTTGAAGATACGAAGGAGTGTCCGGGTTGTATTGAAGAGACAAAAGAATTCTCAATTGTACATCTTGTAGGGAAGCGTAAAATTAGTTAAGAGATATCTAGACAAGTTTAATACCATGGTGGATATTCAGTTTGGTACAGTATCTCTTGTGACGGGCTCTAGATCGGTTCAGAACATTGCTCAAGGGAGCATTAGTGATTTCACTTTGCCACCAATTTCAACAGATACACTGTGTTTAGTTGCTAGGATTGGACTCGTGGAGCGTAGATACAGTGGTGTCAATGATGACTGTAATGCTTTCGAGATCGTTGAAGGTGACAGTTCTAGCAAAAAGCCTTCTGATCAGGCATTTGGTATGGTTTCTACTATAGAATGTGCTTTGACCCTGTTTGGTCAATAGTAATTTCTTAGTGGAATTTTGGGAACTTGGGAGTTGGATTCAGGTATCGCTTGTGAACGCTCACTAGAGGAAGATTTTTTTTTTTTTTTTTTTTTTTTTTGGGGGTTTTTTTTTTTTTTTTTAAAAGTTTGAAATTTTTTTTTGGGTTTGGGAATTTTAATATTGGTCAAAGTCAATTTATTGGGTCAACTAATGATCAAACTAACAGAAACCATCCATTTGGACCTCAAGTGCAGTTTTTTAAAGGTTTGATACTCACGGTGGAACAAATGCTGTGTTTAGTTGCTAGGATTGGACTCGTGGAGCGTAGATACAGTGGTGTCAATGATGACTGTAATGCTTTCGAGATCGTTGAAGGTGACAGTTCTAGCAAAAAGCCTTCTGATCAGGCATTTGGTATGGTTTCTACTATAGAATGTGCTTTGACCCTGTTTGGTCAATAGTAATTTCTTAGTGGAATTTTGGGAAATTCGGAGTTGGATTCGGGTGTCGCTTGTGGACGCCTGGCAGAGAAAGTTTTTTTTTTTTTTTTTTTTGTGATGGAGAGTTTTGGTTACTTTTTTAAAGAGTTCGAATATTTCGATGCGGTTGGACATATTTTTCCAAGTGAAAAAATTATAGAGTTTCGTTCGTTGCACCAGAATTTAAGTTAAGGTGGAGATTGTTGGGTTTATGATCAAAATTAGGAAAAAATTGTTTTCTTATTTTCAAGTAGAAAAAATTATTTCCTTATATTCATGTGATTTTATTGAAAATATATTATTTCCATCTTTATGGTATAGTATGTGCCAATAAATAGTGGCATCTTTTTTCAGTTTAGTTCAAGCCAAAATTGCTGTGCTGTAATTTTTCTCCGCATCATTGTTATAATAAAACATCATTTCCTCTGCTTACCTCTTTTTGATTTTTTTACTTTAATCTTGTTTCATTTTTGTGATCTTGTTACATATTTCATATAACGTCATTAATCTCAATCCTTACGTCGCTTTGGGATCAACGGACAATTCAAATAACATTAAAGAAAATTAGATTTATATCATTTTTGTTCTTTTGTTACATTTCTATAAATTTCACTAAATGTTTAAAATTTTTGGTGGTTGTCGCACATTTAATTTCACATTTTTCTAATGTATACTTATCCTTAATCTTCTATTAATTAGCACACTTAGTCATAATAATGGTTATGTCCAAACTATTCAATTCACATGCTTTGAAAAAAGAACTATTATTCTGTTACATTTCATATATTGTTATTTTTTCTAAATTTAGAGATATGAGGAGCAAATAAGCCTCCAGTTGACAATTTTATAAATAGTTTATATAGATGAATTGTAATGAGTCTCACAAAATGTGTAAATAATAAGGAATGGTGGCTGTAAATAATAAATATGTGGTTAAAATTAATATTTGAGTATAACTGAATTTCCAAATCATTTATAAATTGGTATTCAAACGATGACCAAATCTTTTTATGCCTTTGTGATGCTTTTTATTAATGAAAACCATCATTATGAACTAAATTTACTAATAAATAAAATATTGATTATTAGACAGTGACTAAAAATTATATAATTAACAAGCAACGATGAACAAAGGTTGAAGACCTTTAACAAAATTAAAAAGCGGTGCAACAATTAAAAAAAAAAAGCCTATGTTCCATATAATTGCCCTTACATTAAATCTCGCTATTTTTCGATAAATTTACCCTTTCAGTC